GGACTCTCTTCAAGCTGGCTTCACTGTTCTTTTGACATGCTCCTGTCCTTCTCTGAGCACTTTCTTCCTTTTTGGCACAAGATGTTCCAGGCTCAGTTTGTGCTTTTCCTCCCCCAGCCCTGGAATCAGCCATTTCTTCAAGGAGCCCAGGTCGTTTTTGGTAAAGCATCATGTTTAAAAGCCAGAGTCTAGTGTAGGTATGCCTGTTGATCTGGGAATGTCACTGCTTCCAGGCCCTTGCAGCAGGCGGACATGTACATCTCCATTTGTTTCTAAATCTGTTTATATGGGCAACCGTGAATTCACATAAAAACTTCTGAATCCTATACAACACCACGGCATTCCTTTATAGTTTTTTCCCTTTCAGTTTCTACAACTCTTGTCTCTGATGAGAAACCTGCCTGACTACCCTTGATGCATTTGTTTGTAGATCACTCCCTATGTTTCGCTTATCCCCCATCCCCTGAGGACGCCCTCTTCATCCCTTTCTGGTTCCAGCGCGTGCTGGACTTGACCTCACATGAGTGCCCTCACCACCTAGTTCAGGCTCTGACACCCATGCACAGCTCCTCCAGGTGGGGGCACCCTTCTTACCCATCTAATGGCTTCAGGGCTGAATTGTTTGGGAAGAGAAGAGGTAGAGAAAGAAGAACTGATCTGTCCTTAATTGCAGAAATCTGAGTCAGAATCAAAATAGTACTTGACTGCCCCATGTGTGCTTGTTCAGGGGTAGGAAGGAGAGACACCTGGACCTAAGTTGGAAGAGTGGAATAGGTGGGGTGGGCACAGGTCCCAGAGGTGGAGCACCTGCATACCAGGCACAGTTGTTTCTAAGCGGTTGAATCATCTTAGAGAAGGAATTTGATATCTTTGTACCTCAGCTCTTCCAGTAATAAATTGGACCAAATCGAAATCAAAGACTGATGCCTCATGGCCAAAATTGGCCTAAGTGCTTATTTTGTTTGGGAGTCAACTTCCTTTCTTTTTTTTTTGAGACAGGGTTTCCCACTGTTGCCCAGGCTGGAGTACAGTGGTGTGATCATAGCTCACTGCAGCCTGACCTGTGCTCAAGCAATCCTCCCACTTCAACCTCCCAAGTAGCTGATACCACAGGTACATGCCACCATACCTGGCCAATTTATATATATATATTTTTTGTAAAGATAGGGTTTTGTCATGTTGCCTCAGCTGGTCTCAAAATCCTGAGCTCAAGCAATCCCCCCACCTCAGCCTCCCAAGTGCTGGGAGTGATACAGACAGGAGACAGGGCGGTACTTCATAGAAGAGGACAGTTCCCTGGCAAAGGCCCCACTCTCAAGCTTGAAAGCCCACGGCCCTAAAAGGGAACAAGCATTCCTGTTTTTGTCCCCAAATGTTGCCTTTTGGCCCACCATGCCCCCTATCCTATACTCATATAAACCACAAACCTCAGGCTCTATGAGCAGAAGAGCAGAGGAGCATAAGAGCCGTGCCCAGAGAGGGAGAGAAGGGAAGGAGCACCCTAACTTTGAGAGGAGTTTGGCTGGGGATGGTCACAGAGGAGATCGGCTGTGGGACTGCCTAACTCCAGGGGAAGATCATCTTCCCACTCCGTCCCCTCGCCGGCTCCCCATCTATCCTGCTGAGAGCTACCTCCATCTGGCAATAAAATCCCTCTCATTGATCATCCTTCAGTTTTTCCATGTGACCTGATTCTTCCTCGATGCCGGATAAGGACCCAGATACCAAGAGGGCACTGAGCTAGTTAACACTTAAGCCACCTGCAACAGCAGAGCTAAAAGAGCACTGCAATATGCCCAATGGGGCTTCAGGAGTTGCAGGCACCCACCCCTAGATGCTACTGTGGGGTCGGAGCCCAAAAGCGCTTGCCCCAGCTCCTGCATGTTCCTCCCGTAAGGGGTTTGAGTGCACAGTGGCTGACCTGACGAGCCACACTCTGTCACACATCTGCAAGGGGTTCAGGGAAGTCTCCCGTTTCAGGATTACAAGCGTTAGTCACCGCACCAGGCCAGGAGACAACTTTCAAAAAAATCAAATTTAAATTTCTTTAGTTGGAGGCTGTGCACTCCGATTAGCCCCAGGTGGGCGACAGCTGAGACCATCTTTCCCAACTTTATACATTTCTCCCTCCAGGCTAAGTTACATTTCAAGCCTCTTCCAGCTCAAGGATTCAATGGCTTTATCCTTTAGACACTGATGAATTAGGCACACTTCTAACTGTCCCTTCTTGGCTAAGGACAGTCTGTCTACCTAGAAGAATGAAACAGTCTTAGACTTGCAGGCAGGGCCCTGGTATTGCTTAGGATATTATTTTAGCTGCCCTAACAAGAGACTCCAACAAATAAAAAATAAACAAGATAGTTTATCACTGAGCCCAGGTAACAAACATGAGTCCAGCCTGACTCGATGGTGTCTAGGTGTTCAGCTCCTTCTATGTTGCTGTTCTGAGTCAAGGATGGCTCATTGCCCTGTCCATGTGTCAGCTGGTCATTAGGGGTGGGACACACCTTCCATTTCAGGGTGTGACCCAGAGGTGCATCACTTCCACTCACTTCATGTTGGCAACACTTATCCACACAGCAAATACAGCCGAAAGAGAGGTTGAGAAGCAAGCATTTATTCTTGGGAGCCACATACTCAAGTCAAGAATTGGGTGTTCTATGATGTTGAGAGAGGACAGAATGGATACTGGGGGAAACTAGCAGCCTCTGCCACAGTATTTGTGAAAACATTCCTTTCCACCCACTGTCTGGAATATCCTCTGTTGCATTCATTTTCATCTTATGCATCAGAGAGTTGCCAGTTAATAATTCATTTAGAGAACTGGGCGCGGTGGCTTACGCCTATAATCCCAGCACTTTGGGAAGCCAAGGCGGGCAGATCATGAGGTCAAGAGATCGAGACCATCCTGGCCAACATGGTGAAACCCCGTCTCTACTAAAAATACAAAAATTAGCTGGGTGTGGTGGCGTGTGCCTGTAGTCCCAGCTACTCGCGAGGCTGAGGCAGGAGAATTGCTTGAACCCGGGAGGCGAAGGTTGCAGTGAGCTGAGATCGCGCCACTGTATTCTAGCCTGGCGCCTGGTGACAGAGCAAGACGCTGCCTCAAAA